CGCCATCCGCGGCGCTATCATACTGGCCAAGCTGTCTGTGATTCCGGTGAGGAGAGGCTACTGGGGTAACAAGATCGGAAAGCCACACACCGTGCCGTGCAAGGTCACCGGGAAGTGTGGGTCCGTCACCGTGAGGATGGTCCCCGCGCCCCGTGGGTCCGGGATTGTGGCGGCGCGTGTGCCGAAGAAGGTGCTCCAGTTTGCTGGTATCGAGGATGTTTTTACCTCCTCCCGTGGATCCACGAAGACTCTTGGTAACTTTGTCAAGGTATGAATTTTCTGTGCCTTGATTTTTTCTTAAATTTTGAATAAATTTTGTCCATTGATTCACTGCATTTATTATATTGCTGTTTTTTTGGGTGATGTGATGTGGATTAAGCATTGAGGGGTTGTTTTAACAGATGGTAATTTAATCTTAATGGTGAATGCAGGTGATTAACTATGTATGATTATGGATTTTCTGTTATTTCTGGCTTATTCTTGTTGTGTTTACTTGATTTAAGATGTGAATTTGTGATATTGTGACTATTGTTTATTGCAGACAAGCTTGGTTTTTATTCTCATGTTTGAACATGTATTTTCTAATAGAGACCCGATTAGTCCCGATTAGTCCGACATTTTTTTTACAAAAATGCTTACTTTCATTAAAAAAAAATGTATACTTTAATGAATAATGTAAACAAAAGTAGGAGATTTGATAGTATAAGCATGATCTTTGTTCATAGCACATGATGGGTCGATCGGCCCTACTCTTTTTAGGCTGTCTTTAGAAGAATTTGTGAATAGGATTTTCATTTGAATACATCTCATTTTGTTAGTAGTTGAGTATGCTAAGGTTGTTCTTCAATGTGCTATTGTACTAGGACTAGCATGTGTTATGGTTTTCTAGTGATAGTAATTAGTAAATGGTAATTGCACCATTGTTGACCCTGCCTTTGAAATCATCTAATAGTTTCTAATCCAACCTTTTTATTTACAGGCAACTTTCGACTGTTTGTTGAAGACTTATGGCTTCTTAACTCCCGACTTCTGGAAAGAGACCCGATTCACAAAATCACCATTCCAAGAGTTCACTGATCTTTTGGCGGTGCCTACTGCTAAGATTGTCCAGATAACTGAGGACACTGAAGCTTGATTGAGATTATGTTTCTGTTAGGTTATCCTGTGATAGACAAACTTGAACTATTTTGAGTTTTGTGTTTTCCTATTGTGGATGCTGTGTTGAGTTCAATTTGATCGCAGACCTTTCATCTTATGTCAAATTAAATTGAATTGTCGTGTCTTTTTTGTTTTAAATGCTGAGACTTTTTTTTTTTTCGTCGTCAATATTTCTGTGGCTCGATTCATTAATTTTTCCTTTTGTTTTAGAATGTCAATGTTATGAGTTGCCTGCTTCTGGGAGATGGTGGTTATAAATTTGTACAGCTTGGTCATTGGTAGACCAAAGTTTGCTTCAGATTAAAAGTTTTGTTGGAGGGCTCGTGTATCTATCTCTACTAGGGATAGAGATGTTAAATGAAAGGAGATGACTTGGTTTGGGTTATCTAATAAATGAGTTGAAAAGCTTGAGTTTTATAGTTTTGACTCGGTAAAGTTCGAATTTTGTTTTGGTTTGTAACTCGTTTACACCTCTAATTGTGGTTTGTGGATGTTGATAGTGTTTTTTTCTTTTGGGTGAAGATCAACACTGATTATAATGTGATATTGCTTTGGAGTTCTATGGAGTGAATGTAAAAAAAGTGGATACAATGTCATAGGGAAATGTTACAATTTCGTTATGGAATCATTTTGTCGATATATGTAACCTTTAAATCAATTATTCTCGACAGTTACATGATGATTTAACGGTTAACGGTTACCAATTCTGATCGAATGGTTTCGTAGTGGGATTATGTAACCTTTAAATCAATTATTCTCGACAATTACATGATGATCTAACGGTTAACGGTTACCAATTCTGATCGAATGATTTCGTAGTGGGATCGTAGCATCTTCCCAATGTGATACTGCTTCTAGGAATTAGTATTTTTTTAAAATAAACTTTTTCAGTTTGTCTCGAATATTACAACTATCACATGGACTTACTTGTCTTACCATAAAATTGGACCCTTTTAGCACCAACTATAATGATAAAATGCTACCCCTTTTAACAGCAATTTTCCATTGTTTCTCTCAATCTCTTCCTATTTTAACCAAACAACCGCGAGTCTCCAGACTCCAATACAAAACGGAAAGCAGGAGAGAATTAATAATGTATATTTTTTCTAAACTTTTCCATATTGACGATTTACTACAAAATTTTACAGTTGATTTTGAAATTCTTCTGTAGCATACCATGAAGGTGTAAACGCCGAGCTCAAACTACTTGGAATTGGACTCGGACGTGGCTTTGGGCCTTAATCGAGCTCGGCTCATTAACAAAATGAATTCGAACTCAATTCATTTATTAATATTAATAATTGAAATTTGAGTTTGAAAATGAGTCAGAATTATAAAAAAAATCATATAAAAATTCATATATTTTGGAGTCTGATTTTTATCTATTTCCATTTATTTAGTTCTTTCTTTCTTATTATTACATCAGTTGTCCCCCCATTTGCATCAAATTTTTAATGAGCTTAAAATTGTGAGCTGAAAGACTTTGCAGCCTGCTTTTTGGTTTTCTTTTGTTCTCTCTCCCAAGTTCTTCTCGAGTGTTTTGTGAACCGGTGGTTGCATGGCTGCTCAAATCTCACTACAACGACTCAGTTGCTTTGTGGGCTCGTTCTATTTCTCATGGTGAGTCTGCTTTTCTGTTTATTTTGCACTCAGATTTCTTGATTCTCCATGTATTTTGCTTAGATTCGATCTGGGTTCAGTTGAAGGGCCCATAAAAATGCAATCTTTATTACACTGTACTTCCATGTATTAATTTTGTTCTTCAATTTGATGGTATGGGTGATTTTCATGCAAAAAAAAAAAAA